CCATATTTGGATCAAAGTTGAACGTCTGGAATAGATATTTTTACTAATATTATTAATTACATACAAACAGTTTTTAAAAAATTGTAATTGACACAAATAAAAACCGAGAAAAATAAAAAAATATATAAAATACTGCATTGACATTCATCCTAACTTGTCTTTTTGGTAAACAATCTTGGAACTTCTTTTTATTCAAAATACAGCATTAAAAATCAACTGATAACTAGATTCAATAGGTTTCAGTCTATAATAACGATTTATTGTAATAGATTATTGACTTTGTTATCATTTTATTTTTAAATTGGTGATTTTGTTAAAAGGTTGTACCAAGATTGTTTCTTCTTCTTCTTTTTCTTTTTTTATGGCATGCACCAAGATTGTTTAACAAATAGGATAAGTTAGAATGTTTTTTTAAGATTCTCCCTTTTCGGGGAAGGTAAAGGGCCATAAAGCCAAGTCTTTAGTTTTATTAATCTTCGGTTTTTTACATTAGAATGTCGATGTGGCTCATTCTAATGTTTCTTGGAGTGTTTGACACGAAATGTATCGAGTTGGCTTTACAGGTAAGCTTCTGTGAGATAGTCAACACTACAAAAAAATTCTCACGTCTACTTGATCGGAATAGCGTATATTTTAAAGATTCCACTACCTAATTCTTCAGTTCCGCAGACGGTTGTAACACAAAATCACACCAATTTTATTTCACAATATCCACTGTGAACGAATTTAAGAATAATTAAAATAAGACGCCAACCGCCAACGCCAAGATTTATCTGTGATATTGGTATACTTGTTTTGATTTCTGTGCAAAAAATCAATTTCTGTAATGAAAAAATGTAATACAGATACGTAATAAAAATGTCAAAATAACGTAACCAATAAATGTTCACAGCAAATTTTTTTTTCCTCGGCTTTCTTTCGTCGTGATTCTTACATATATAAGCTCAATAAATTACGCAGAATCTAATGATATATCATTTGTTGAAAGACGCAACAATTTAATTTGAAATAAAACGATGTATGGGAGTTGACCGATGTCCTTTTCATAGCAAAAGTTGATGTTACTGAAAAGAAAACAGAGCCCGTTGCAATACCATCTTGTTTGATGTTAAATGTGAAAATAACTCCTGCAGCTAAGTTAAATGGGGCATCATCACTTTCACTTAGTTGGAAATGCTTCCTGGCACACTATTTGCTTGCCCTGTGCTACTCAGGTAACCTTTCTTACTGTTTCAACCTTATTCAATATTGTTAAAGGTTAAAATATGCTTTAAATCTTTACTAATTCATCATCGTTAGCCAATTAATGGTAATCGAAGGGAAGGAAACAAAATTTGCAGCAGACATATCAACTCAGAAAGGGATCGTCACCGTATCAACTTGAGCTATTCAGAATTATTTGTATGTAAGTCGCTTCTGCAACACCCATTAATCGGAATCGTTCGTAACGTAATCGTCTTACGAAGAAACACGAGCTTGTCCTGAGGCGAGGCGATTACGTTACGACTCCGATTAGTGCAGTGTGGAGTTACATACCAAAAATACTGAATGGCTCGAGTTGATACGGTGATGTGATAATCCCTTTCCGAGCTGATATGTCTGCTACAATCTTAAAGGTCCCAATGTGGACTGGTAGGTAAGTGTTACCCACTGCATATGCAATGATCACAGTCCAAGCGCGGTAATCACTGTGTTATCTAGCTTTTGTACAAATTTTGAGTTACCTGAGAAATTTTACTAGCTAATTCAGACAACATATTCTGATTAATTCAGATTAAAATATAACCTAAACGGTTATATTTTTTTCTTTAATTTTTTTCGGAATATGGCTCCACGTCAACTCAATAATTATGCAATTATGAAACTATAACAATTTCAATTGTGATACTTTGAACGGATAATCATTGCATAATAGATAAATGTTATTTACAAATGTGCGCCGTATTAGGATATTTTGTAAACGACTTAAATAAATAGTATGTGGGTGTAGTATATTTACTGTTTATTTCTCACTATTTTAATTTATACGATTTTTAAGTTTCTCAGGTAACTCAAAATTCATGGTGTGGAACACCGTACATGAATCTAGTTACTTAACAGTATCTAAGTATGTAGTGTAGTACAAGTTATTTGATTTATTAATCGGGAGCATAAAACGGAACTTTGCTTCCGAGACCGATGGCGATAATAATAATATATTATATAAACAAAGCGCGCAATAGAATTAATTTATTAATTTGTTTACATTACAGTTCATTATCCGATGGTGAATGTAATAAACAATTAAGACGATATTACATAGTTGTATACGAATGTCAACAAAGACCATCTTTATAAAACAAACAAAGTATATTGAGATAGCTTTTAAGAATTCGTACGAACAATAAACAAGAGAGGAATTGGAGCGCCCGTCTGGAGAAGTAACCACCATATTCTTACAGAAGATCACAGTAAAATAACACTACCTTTTGGTGGTGTTGTGTTTCTGTGGATGAGTAAGGTTCCAGGGCTCCACCGGGTAGTGGCTTGGGTCAGAGTAAGCAAGGGTGCGAGTGATATTTTTGGTATCGCAAGCGTATATAGGCTACGGTGCCCCTTACCATCAGGCGGGCCAATCGCTTGTTTGCCACCGTTTTAACATAAAAAAATAAACAAAATACTGTTGCTAAAGGAATAAAATGTAAAAAAAAAATAGTTATTAGGGAATTGGATAGAATTAGTAAGAGAATATCTTTGGAAGTTTTTGATCTTTGATTTGCTTCGATGCATTTTTTATTTATTTATTTTTTTAAGAAACTAAAGAATTTATTGACAATTACCTGACGGGTTATACTGTTAATATGTTTATGAGATAAAATTACCACCAATTTTTAAAATTACCACCAATTTTTAAAATTACCACCAAGAATATAATAGTAAAGTGAGAAAATTAAGTACTAAAATTAACTTTTTTTTTTAAATTGCGAGTATACGGTATGCGAGTATTGCGATACAATGGATGATCATTGATTTTAAGCCTGCAATAGCTTTATTTGGTTGAAGCTTCTTGGCTGACAATTCTATATCTATCCAGATAGATCGAAATCAAATCTCGTCGATCTACCTGTTCTTTAGACAAATAAATTACTTAAAACTGAATAATTTGCATAACATAATTGGCAAGCGTACACAAAACTATTCAAACGTGTCAACGCTCCTTTTCGGACGGTACGATCTTGGTGGATGGGGACTAAAAAAAAACCGCCACAGCCGTCAGTTGTTTCGAAGCGTATTGTGTGTAGTTGTGTAATAATTATACATACCTATGTTTATTTTTAATTTCGTTCCAACTGAGTGTTCCACGACACACACTTTTGCTTTTTATTACGTATAATTATTTCTTTGTCGTTCGTATTTTAAACCGGCGGCGACACAATTGTGCCACTGTTCGTTTGTCAGGTATCTCATTCAAAAATCTATTTGAATTTATTTTCTGTTATTGTTATACAAACAACGCCATTATTGTGTTATACTATATTTATACATTTGAGATATGACCTCCAAGACCTTACTCAAAGTTTATTAGATAATACAAACGTATTAAACAATTTCATTTATTACATTATAATGAGTGTGTAATAGTTTTGTTTTACGTATCACCTCGCGTTATCTTAAAGTGACCAATAGGTAGATAAGTAGTGGATATGAAACAAGTAGGCTGGAAAACAAAACATGTCGAATGCTGTAATTTATCGTAAGTGAGAGATATAGAAGGACACACCCGTCCATCGCGTAAGTGACCCGGGGAACCTCTCATTTCTCTTATCTTTATTTCATTTTCTATTGATATTGAAGTAATATTTTGTGTTTGTTTATACAATTTACAAAGTTTATTTTATAATATAACATTTACTTTTATTACAACATTTCATGTACTATCAATACAATGGAGTGTGTTCCGAGGAATTATTCAATCTGGTACCAGTGGCCAAGTTTCTTAACCGCACTATACGCTGCAGAGAGAAGTTTCACCTACAATATCTGGACGCTTAGTGTTCTAGCAGTATGCGTTGCGCGCTCCTTTTTTCTAGCGTACCAGCAAGATCTGAAACGAACTTCCCTCAGCGGTTTTCCCCATTAGAGAGCCCTTTCACATTTTTTGCAAAAAAATCGTTTTTTTCAAAAGAAGTTAACAGTAGATTTATTCTTAATATTGTAAGTTTATGTAGAATATTTGCAAATACTATTTTCCTTTTTTTTGGTACTAATCGTTCTACTGCAGCTAGTTTAAAGAAAAAACGATAATATGCACAACTTCAAACGCCTCAATCTCTCACTAATGCTCAATAAATTAGACCAAATTAACTACTACAACATCAGAAATATGTTTTTGTTGTAACATGATGTGTGATCAAAAAAAACATCTAACCTCCGTGAGTTTTCCCAAAAAATAATGCAGGCTTACCTCGTATTTTGATATTGAATTAAATAGAATAACTATATTTTTTTTTTCAATAAACTAATCTACCATCATTGAACTACTGAAATATGTATATATTTTTATAATTAGTTCATTAACAATTATTTTAAAAGACTCGAAACATCACCCGTAAAATGCAATATATACTAGTGCAAATCTATCTACCTACTCGCCGATCAGTACGGCAGCGGCGCAATTTTGTAAAAGGGCTCTTAAGCTATGATTATCAGTCTTCAAAAGGTGGGTAAACCTTTTCCTTCAGAGCAGGCAACGCATGAGTAGTACCCTTGTTGATGCTGCAAGTGTCCATGGGCGGCAGTGACCACTTACTTACCATCAGGTGCACTATCAGCTCGTTTGCCTGCTTAAACAGAAAAATCCATATGACAATGAAGCTATACAAAAGTCAAGTTTCCTATGAAATGAAACTTATGCGGTAGAGCATTCGTCTTGATAGTGATGTGCTGCTTTGAATCTAGCAAGTAAAGGTGAAGCTTTTCTTATTAAAAAAAAATACCATGTATTAAATTTATATCTTATAGCAACTTCACCCGCGTTAACTTAAGTTTTTTGAGAATCCCTCTGAAACCTAACATATTGTTACGTTCCCGGATGTAGTTCGAAATTATAACGCCAGTAGGTCACGCTAGACTGTTCTTTATTCACCACACAGTTCACTGAGTAAATACTCAATATTAATCACAACAGACTCACTGTCCACTATACGAGTCCTTATACAATTGCACTTGAACACTTTACTTGCACTTTAATCGCCTTCATCATCGTTCCGAAATCGCTGTTGAAATTCAACTGTTATCGTCTTGAAAGTAAAACTGTCACTGCACGGAGTCGAGCGTTCATATAAACGGCAATCGATGTATCCCAGAGAAATCCAGTTCATTGAGAGTACCCGCAAGTACTTATATGCAGGTAGCACGCATGAGTTGTAAACAAGTTGGCAGCTGTCATTTCACTTTCACCCTTACCCCTAACTGCCAAGATTCACATTCGAGTAGACTGCAACAGTAGGTCGTCGTATTTAGGTACTTCGGGTCGCTAGAACATTAAGCAACAGCATTGACGTTCTGAGTAGATCTATTTTGAGACTGTTCGTGGCAATAATTTCAGGATAAAAAGTATCCTATGGCTCTCAATCCTGTGCAAAAAAGCATGTCTGCCAAGTTTCATCCATTCGTCCACCAGCAACTTCGTCCGCGTTAGAATTCCACAGGAACCTAACATTTCTGCGGGATAGAAAGTATCCAATGTTTTATTCCAGGTCATAAACTTATGCGAACCATATTGCATACAAATCTGTTCAGTATTTTATGCGGGTATGAGAAACAAACATACAAACTTTCACATTTAAAATACTAGTGGGATAAGTAAGATGATGTATAAACTGATGAAAGATTCGTAGACGATATACTTCGGGAAATTTTTATCCTACGAATGCGAATTATGAGACAGGTTAGAAATCATTGTGTAATTAGTTTGCAAGCATTATATGATTCATCCTCCGTAATCGAATCGATACTCTGCTAGGTTTGGTTACTATAAACGGTCGGCCTTAGCATTTGTCACACTATTTGATATGTGTACTTTATCATTGCACTAGTACTTGTGGATTTTTAATGTGACAAACCCGGTAAGGAGTGTTTAATTTAATAGTAATTAGTTTAAAGTTACTAATCCTAGTAATCCTAGTAGTATCATAACTAGTGACCCGCCCCGGTTTAACGTGAGTGCAATTCACTAATAACAAAATTGAAAGTGTTTTGATTTCAGTACAATATTAACTTCCTTTTTCCTAATGTTTCCTGTGGATTTTGCGAAAATGTGGTTTTTGAAAAGCGCCGCTTGATGAAAAACACGGCCGATAATTTCGTAAAAAAATATATTATGAATAATTATAGAAACTAATCCATTAGTTGTGGTTGCGTTTAGATATTTTTTAAAGCCGATGATTGTGATGTAATGCCAATAGATGCTCCTAAAACTTCCGATTGTTACAGGTCTACGACCGGACTTTTACTGGCGCCGATGGTCCCGTGGAAGGGGTTTATTTGTAAATAGTAAAAAAGGGACTAAATTTCAAAATGACAGTTGAAAAACAAGCTTTTGGATCGAATAGAATGCAGACAGTAACAAAACTAGTACCCCCCGATGGAGGATGGGGTTGGATGGTTCTCATAGGTACAGCTCTCTCTAACGTAAGTAAAGTTCACCTTTTTAATCTACTCTTAGTTTTTATATGATACATTTAGTAGAACGATGCGATTTTATATAAATATGTGCGAATTTTAGTAAATATGGGCTTAGCCTATTTTCGACCTAACAACTAATCTATGTTTTGCTTTCCTATCAGTATGGAAAAATCTATTGTTATAAAAGCATCTCAATATGCCTTAAGTTTTTTGCAATATCGACATAATATATTAAATATATTATTTAGTAATATATTTAAAAAAAATATGTCGCTGCTATTTGGATAAACATTAATATCCCAACTGCTGGGGCAAAGGCATTCCCTTGAACAGGTAAAGGAAGTACTTTTACGACCCATTACGTAGGCCCTGTGTGGATTGGTGGGTACTAACTACTGCAGGCAGTTATAGCCGGCACCAACAACTTAACGTGTTTTCCGAAGCACAGAGAAACTCGAGATAATACATCTTGGCTATTCCTTGTACTTAGATTTCATAATCGCAGTTTGAACGCAACCACTGAACTTTATCGCGCTTCTTTAATATTGAGATTTACTAGAAGTAGTTAGTAATCGTTTTTGTTCATTAGAATTCTTTACGAAATGTTGAGTGAGGATTACATTTAAATGTGTTTTGATTCTTAAAGTTATCATCAGATTGCAGAATGAATAGATAAACGCGATACAATATTTTATAAGCCTTCATTCGGCCTATTTTTAAAAAATATGTATAATGAATCACCAAGGTTAAAATATATTTATTATTTACAGTATTTTCATCCAAATTATTCAAAACAAAACTAATTAAGACGTAAATTCAGTTTTACAACTTAATGCCTTAATTTGGTTAAATTCTTAATTTCTCGTAAATATAACACAAAGCCAAATTCCAAAGAAACGTCTTCTCATTTTTATCATTTGTTGAAACGATTTACAACTAAATCAGTCAGTTACTATGAAAAAGTGAACCTTAACAAATACTCAAAGAACAATATGATTCCGCCGTTAATTCTGTTCACGATATGGTATTTAATTAACAAGCTGCGATTCAGAATTACGCAAAACTTCTTGGATTTCAAAACCATTTATAAATATATTGCCATGTATTGCCAGCCTATAAAACTGTACTTTTTTACAACTGTTACGTAAAAAATAAAGCGTTTTCATTTGAAAAAGTAAAAGAACGTTAATATTGTTTTAACATTAAATTACTTATTGCTCACAGATATTCAATCAATCTATGCTGTCTCTATTCAGTTTGCTATACGGAGGTGCTTTAGAGGCCATGGGACATAAGACGCAAGGAGCGGCGGTGGTATTAAGCACTATGTTATTCGTAACAAATTTCGGCGGACCTATAGCAGGTGCCCTAGTTAAATTGTCTTCGGCAAGAGTGGTCGCCGTTGCCGGCGCTTGCTCCTGCACTCTTGGCATATTTTTCAGTGGATTTTCAACAAATATTTGGCACCTCACTTTAACTTACGGAGTGTTATTAGGTAAGCCAAAAGAACAGATACAATGTACGAAGATAACACTCAATATCGAACTAGATAACCAACCAAAGTTCAATATTACATCACCTAATGCTATTTACTTCTACGATTTCGATAAATAAAATTTATTTTCAGGGTTGGGACTAGGTTTCATACAGAACTCATCATTTGTGGCTATAAATGGCTACTTCAAGCTGAGGAAAAGCCGAGCTGTGGGTCTCGCCAATGTGGGAACAGGTGTGGGTCAAACTGTAATGCCTCACTTAGTTAGATACCTGCTAGAAACTTATGGCTTTACAGGCGCCTGTTTGATCCTGTCTTCTCTGAGTTTACATGGGGTAATTTTAATTGTTTCTATATCAACATTTACATAAAGTTTAGAAATCTGAACTCTTATGCAAAATTAACCATTTTATCTTTTATTTCACAGATATGTGGAACATTACTCATTCAGCCAGTAGAACGACACTTGAAAAAAATTGAAGTTGAAGTGGAGGTAGATGAAACTGTACAGTTATTAAAAGAATCACATAAAGACATTGTAATAAGGAAAAATTCGAATACACGTAATGAAATATCAAATGTGCTGGGTCGACGTGCGACGGATCCCAATTTTAAGCAACAAAATGGAAGCGAAAATGGAAAAATATCTAATAGCACTATTAATGTCAAAGATTTAAAAAATGGTAAGTATCCACAACCATTTTCTTATATCACATTCCATAATCATGAAAGAATTTAGGTAACATATAATAGTTTTAGAATATGCACTCGAAAAATCTGATTGAAAATAAATTACTAGTCCATTAAATGCTGTCATTATTCAATCGTACTGGAATATTTCGAACTGCTTTTATCTATAATATATTGACATAATTTACGAGATAAAGATGTTTACAAAATTTATATTCGACGATGCTTAACCTAATTGATTCTAGAAAAACTTAAGAATACATTGTGAAGATAGTTAATGCGGCAAAAATATATCAACCTGAACCGAAATCGCAATCCCGTGGAGTCCTGAAATACCTTAACCACCAACGAAAATATCACCAAAAGTTAGTGTTCATTCACCTTAGTGTTCTGAAAATTGAAGGTCATTTCACCAGAAGGGCGCTCTAATTCGAGTAGAAAATTCGCTATGATTTACCTTCCTTGACTAATTTGTTTTTTTTTTAGAAAACACAACTGTATCCGAACCAGCAGCAGAAAAAGGATGGCTTAAGAAAATGTACGATTTATTCGATATATCACTATTATCAAGTCCTCGCTTCTTGAATATCATTATCGGCACAGCTCTCTCTGTTACATCAATTCAAAATTTCAGTATGCTCTATCCTTTCTTCTTACAGGTAATGGAGATTATTTATTTTCAAAAACACAGGAAAACGGTGTTTCTCTGACAAATATAAAAATACAATTTGTTATTTTTTGCAGAAAGTGGCCAAGATGAACTTGCACGAGACAGCTATGTGCATGTCCGCTGTAGCTGGAGCCGATATAGCTGGCCGTCTTATCTTACCTATATTCCAAGATAAATATAAAATCAAGGCCCGTTGGATGCTTATCATGACGAGCGTGTGGTTGATCGTCATCAGACAAAGTAAGTCACACATGTCTTGACCTCAAACTTCTTAGAAAAACACGCAAGTAATTGGAACACAACAACAACGGAAAAAATATTTACGATAACATTAGCGATATTTGTCATTGCCTTTGAGATTGCTGCCTTTTAAATAAACCTATTGTTTATAGTAATCTAAAGATGATTTCTCTTTAATTCTTGTTTATTTCACCGAGTTTGTTAGATTCTATTCCCTCAACTATCAAAATGTGTTTTGATTTCAGTTCTGGCATACCAAACTGATTTCATAGTGCTGATTGCAATGTCCTGCCTCTACGGATTCGGCAGAAGTATGGTAATTGTCGCAAGAAACATAGCCATTTCAGAAAACTGCAGGCCAGAGCAAGTACCCGCCGCAGTTGGTCTTGGAATGTTAACAATGGGAATCATCGTTCCCCCAGCAGGATATTTCTTAGGATGGATCAGAGATTATACCGAAAGTTATATCATCTGCATAACAGCACAAAACTTATTATTGATCATATTATTGATGACGTGGGTACCGGATATGATTTTGCTGTGGTTAAAAGAAAAAAGAGAAAACAAAAAAGACTTAAACCATATTCAACTATCATGAAAATGATTGGTAGAAAGCTTATTGGTGCATCTACTTTGCATCTCTCTAGAAGCAACTCAACTCAACAACAAGATTAACAAATAACAAAGGTCAAGTACCTTACAAATGAAATGGCTGTGAATATATATGGTGGGAACAAGTGTACAGAGATATTGTTACTTAAGATTGATACCAGTTTAGAACAAAAACTTAGTGCCTATTATTGTATATTATTAAGAAAGTAAGTTCATGTTATGGTTGTTCTATAGCCAGTCGAATAGCGATGGTTACGTATAAACTCTCTAGTCTAATATTTAATAAATAATAGAAAAATTAGCTTTATTTTTGTTGTTTCTTTCACGTGAATCTTGTATCATAATACTAACGTTAAGCTTAGTCGTAATCCTAATCTTGCTGATAAAACATATATGTATTGCAATGCCAAGGATAAGCATTAGCAGAAATGACACACGACCAAAATAAACAAAGTGACACTCCAGAGGTCGAGTAAATCCCGAGTTAAGACAACAGGTTCGTGGAGAATACAAGCAAAATATAAAGGTGTTAGTAGCTTTCATAAATATACCTCGGATAATGTGTGTAACGGCCGCAGCGATCACTGCCAAAACATCTCATGTTTTATGCAAAAGTGACACCGGTGGATCCCTGATACATGAAATTGTCGCCTTTACACATGCGGCCAGTTAGTATAGCTACACATAATATTAAGTATGCATACACTCACAATTTCGGTTTCTTGATACCGTTGTTATTGAATATAAAAACTTTCTTAATCACTATTCTCAGTACTTATTGTTTGTTTTGTTCAAATAGAAATCCAGTGTTTTTAATTACTGAATTTCTATTAAGTTGAATTACATTACATTACTAATGACTACATAACTTTAACTTAATGAAAACTTAGACATTACAATAAGTTATTACAAAATCATTTTCGATATATTACATAAAAATATTATATTTTCGAGGAAATCTACTTCCAATGCTATATCAAAATTGGCATACAAAATAAGATGGAAAATCCCTTGTCCAAGTAGATAATATAAATTTTGGATCTACGAGTATCAAAAGAGTTGTATCATACAACTCTAACTTACATTATCAAATAACATGTTAACCAAAAGCATATTAAATCAATTTACAACTCACAATAAATCAATAACACTTTCAATGTCCAAAAGTCTTACCAAAAGTAGGTACCTAATTGGTATTTTCTCTGTCATCATACATTAATTAGATAACACGAAATTTCTTGCTGCAAACTTCCAACGCTGCGGGACGTGGCTTCCCGGCGACTACGCTACGAGGGGAAACCTTACAAACAGTTGTTTGTGTAATATGAATATATTTGTATTTAATTTAGTCGCCGCTAAATAAATTCATTTTCTCCGTGCTCTGGGTAGCGCGTAAATCTAGAGGGTCCTTTTCGTATTTCCGAGGAAAGACCACTGGATTACTTTCCACGCTCAGAAATTCGTATATATCGTTGGCTGTCAACGGTTTTACAGAGCTATGAGTGGAAAAAAGTCTTGTTTTTTGTGTACGTCCACCTACCTATCTTTCTATCTTTTTGATGCTGATATACTGAAGGTACAGTAAAATTTCTGTATGATGTTCTTAGAACTATTTACAACATTCTTCTAGCTAGCTACAATTTAATAGCATTTCCCGCGACGACATACAAGGCTATCCGCCTTTTTTTCATCATCATCATCAGCCTATTAATGTCCCTACAGCAGGAGCACAGGCCTTCCCTATTGATGGAATATATGCATATAAAAAATGGCCGTGACCCACCTCACGGGCCCAGTGCGGATTTGCAGGTGCTAACGACTGCAGATGCAGCCGGGACCAACGGCTTAACGTATATAGGTTGATGGGTTTTTGGTCACCCATTCAATGACCGACCATTACTAAAGCTGCTTAACTTTCACGATTGATTTTACTAACCACCTGCTCCATCGAGCTTCTCAACTATGTCTATTATATATAATGTTATTCAGATCTAGGTATTTTTATTTTAGAATAAAAAAACGGAAAGATTTTGAAAATTTTATGGCAGTAAAAATTTACAAAACCAGTGAATAAAGTAGACCTACCTACTAAAAGCTACGAAATTAAGGCATCATCAACTGGCGTAATAATAGCAGTATTGTCACAGTTATTGCTAAGGTCGTGTTTTTTCATCGATAGTGACATTTGACTACAGTTAATGCCACATCAAGTACATAGTAATTGTGTCAAATTTTGACATGTGCTATTTTTATCAATGTAACTAAAATTATACTATAGTTAAATCCTATAGAAAATATTACCATTCACTAAATGTATTTGCCGTGACATTAACTGTAGTCCCGCTAGTCTAATTTAGCCCAGACAAAATTAGCGCCGTTATTTGTATGTGCTTCGTTTTACTGAATTCTAAATCAAAATATGTGAAAGCTACAAACTGGTTCAAAAGATTAATAACAACCTCCGTGACCGAGTGATTTGCACGCCAGGTTTCATCGTGTTGCCGACTCGAGAGGTCCCGGGTACAAATTCCTGTGAAGGCAGATGTTTGTGTGATGAATACGAGCATTTGTACTCCAGTCATGCATGTTTAATATGTATTTCTATATAAATATACTTAATTATGTACAGTATATGTATTCTATCCGTTACCCTAGCATCCCATAACGCAAGCCTTACAGTGTTTACTTTGGGGCTAGGCTAATTGGTGTGAGTGTTGAAAATATTTATTATTATCTCTTATCTATTAGACAAGTCCGTCCGTCTGTCTGTGGTGCTGTTTCAGCGGCCAAGAGATAGATAAAGAGAATATTTAAGTTATAAGTTAAGAATAGTCTGATAAGACTACAAACCGGATTTGAGTAACGTAGCACTTCCGGTTTTCGAGAAATCACGAATTTCAAACGAAACCACACAAAATCTCCGAAGTTCTCAATTTTTTTTTTTTAAATCAGGTTTTGGTGAACATTTGGTTCACTGGTTTGCTAGTTATTAATAATACAACCCACTGGATAGACAAATGGACGGACGTACAGCAGAGATTAAGGCCGCGTTGTTTCATCCTTCATTTCATACTAGGTACTTCGACAGTCTCTGTATAAATAAGAAATGGTTTTATCAGGTAGGTACCTAAAAGGTTTGGATAAATGAAGATGACTTTGTCTTAGCATAATGCCATTTCTTAGAATATTATTTGAATAAACTTGAACAACAGCGCGTTTTGCTGACCGCTGCTGCAGTGTAGGTGTATATGCTCGCTCTGCTCGTGTTTTTAATTCGTCATAATAAAAGACGTAACCAAATATTATACTAAAATGATATTTACATATAGTACAATAGCGTGAATGAAGACATATTGGAGTAATGTAATGACAAAATTTAATTATTGGGTATGACGTTTCTCAGTCGCGCAACTTATGAGTAATTTAAGAATTAAAGTATTTAATATGTAACCATTCATGGAATCCCATATATATTTAATGAAATATTGCCTCTTTAAGATTTATATATTTTCATCAGTTTAGTTTGTTTCGGTTGATAATTAATTTTAAAGGGGAATTGCATTACAGCCAGTCATAATTCACTGGAAAAATATAAATTTGGAAAATATCCTTTTTTAGGGTACCCTACATGTAGTGTTTTTTTTCATCGTCAACCCTATTGTGTAGGGTATCATTGATTAGGTCTTTTAAAATGACTTGTGGCTTGCTAAGACTATTTTTCGATTTAGGGATCCGTTTGTGAAATATTAAACTATAAAGTGCAAATTTTTGTACAAATAGGTATAGGTGAACCATGATAGCTAGACAGTTAAAATTTTCACAGGTGATGTATTTCAAATCAAATTATAATTTAAATATTCAAGGGGGGCTCTCATTCAACACGCGTGATTTTTAATGATTTTTGTTGTATATTATATTAATGTCTCTATATTGAATATGTAATGGTAAAGAACCCTCCGAGCGCGAGTCCGATTCGCACTTGGCCGTTTCTTTTATGTCTAGGCAGCTGTCCTTCTCTGCCCTTGGCCATTTTCATAGTTTTATAATAACCAATCAAAATTTTCACCGCTATTTTGAGATTTTCACAGGAACACCTAACATAAAGGAGACTGTAGTTAATTGCTTCATTGAGAGTCCTAAATAATTCATAAGGCTCGTGCACAGACGATAAATGTACAGGAGACAACGTGTCAAATGTGAACATGAACATTTTCAACTTTACTACAAGGTATTAAGGGTGTGAATCACGGCTGGGCCGTTAGTTTCAATGTTCCGTTGGCAGTATTGTTCGCGAAACAAAAACGGCACCTCGTTACCACGCTGTTGTATGCAGTTGAATATTACTCTTATATGCAAAGTCTCAAAATTAAATTATGTCATAGATTTTGTACGTAGAATGTTATTAGGGTGTCTAGTCTATCGTTCTACACTATTTAATAATAGGTTTTCTGTGGAATTTTAAACTGTACTAGAATGACAAGGGAAGACTTGATCTGTTGTACATTTACCTAATACTTGTATGTTTATTCTGTACAATGGAAAACATATTCTTTCATCACTGTTTCTAGAGACCCGAGTCTATGTTAATAGAAGAAATGTTATATAAATTTTCCGTAATAGCATACCGAACGTATTAACTGAAATAGGTACTGCAAAACTCGCTGTTTAAATGTGTGTTTTGATAACTCGAAAAGATCAAGTTCGTTAAATTTTGTGTTATATGTCCGTGCTATACGTTTGAGTGTTTATGTGTATGCAGCAAGGGAGTATGGCGTGTGCGTCGCTGAGGAGTACAGAACCCGATACCCGCTACTAAATCCGCGCAATCCAATTGCCCATTTAAGGTGTCGAACAGTAGGCACATGTCAAGCATTACCCGCCTCTCCTCTAAGATCAAGAAGCCATGGTCATCATCATCCACTTTGATATGAATCAGGGGAAATACGTTGTCGATATTTAATACGTTTTTTTTGGATTCGCTCGAGACGATCTTTGTGTCCAAATAGTATACAGAACGAAGCCCAAGCTCTTGTAGGCCTTGTTTATTAACATAGTCTATATGATGTGATAAAGTCATATATACCTACTATCATAAATAACTCCCAAATCTCTAATCTCCGTCACTCTTGCAATTGGGTTTTTATTGAATGTATATTTGTATTTAATAGACTTGCTTTTCCCTGTATAGGAGATGCACTGTCACTTGCCTATATTGATAGTGATTTTGTTTTCCAAATACTTGAAAGATTGTCTAGATCGGATTGTAAGGATTCGCAATCGCGTATATATTTGATGATAGCATTTTTTTGTCGTCTGCATATAACAAATGTTCGGCATATAATAGTTGTTTTGCCTACTATATACCTTATTTAGAAATATAGTATTTGATACCCTAGATAGTATGATAGGGCTACCCTATCCTCACGAGGCATGGACATTTTGTTAGACTGTCTTGTAGTGACATAAAAAATAGATAGAAAGAAAAAGAGTAAAGGAAAATCAGAAGAACAGTAGAGAATATATATATTTACAAGAATAAAGTATTTACAGACCAACAATATAAAAAATAGGGTTATGGTGTGTGTGTTAAGTGTGGGTTCTGAAGTGGGCGTGGATCGTCGGCGATCTTCAGAGGCGGCTAGAGCGGGAGGCCGTGCTGCAGGCAGATGGACGGCGCTCCTTGAAGGCAGAAGCGCTCCTGGTAAGGCGTTTCCCAATTCTTGAAAGAAATGAATGAATGATCAGGGTGGCTCGGCCTTTTATAGGTCCGGAACCATTTAAATTTGGACACGATTCGAATCGAACTAAAAAGAATCAAAGTAGGTGGTCTGTGGAGGTTGAATAGGCATATTCGTAGTTGGAGAGAGTATCCGTGTCATGGGTAGCTATGGCAACGTATAAAAATATTAAGATGTCACAAATGTCAAGAAAATCAATAAACTAATTGTATGCCTAAAAATAAATAAAATCGGAGAAATACAATAAAATTAAATAAATAACAGAATATAGAGAAATGCCGGTAAGTGTCCAGCACTCTGGAATAGTGATTTTAATAAGGTGGGATTTTCATACCTATTTACGAAATGATGAATAGTGCTTGAGATTTTTGAAATTGTTCGTTTCCATGAATTAATAATGAGAGATAAGAAAGAAAAGTGTATTAATAAATTTGTTAATTAACCATGCTAACAGATGACAAAATGTGTGAAATGGAATCTATACTGGTATGGTGACTGCCAAAAACAAAGGATCATCCCTGAAGGTACGTTACAAGACATCTTTATAGTTTGAAAAAGAGTGTTCCACGAAACGCACTACTGTATTGCTGATGTCCATGGGCGACGGTGATCACTTAATATCACTCGTCTGCCTTCTAAGGCAATAAAAAAAAGTTAAGGCGTTTCCGGCAATCTGCCTGGAAGTCCATTTCCGACACACGCTATGACAGTCTGTAGGCGTTTCTCTAGACCTGCAGGAACATATTTGCCTGTGTAATAAACATAACAAACTTATCTTTGTATCACAGATTACTAATATGTAATCCAAAATTGGATTAAAAAAAAACATTAGAAGGGGGCGTAATACGTCACTACCACCGAAGTAACTATAACAAGACAACAGTGTCTTCTCTACGCTCTTAGAAAATATTATTGCACCTACGTTACAACGGGCACCATCTTTACGCTACCAAGGAAAATAAAAGCACAGTCAAAAAAACATCAAAATCTCATTAGTTCCCATTTCATGCCGAGACGACACTACGGAAGCAGTATAACTAATGTACGGTAATAAACAGAGACGAGGAGTGTCGCATTTCTTTTTATAACTTCACACAGTATACCATCCATTTTCTGGTTTTAAAAGATGCCAAAGTGCCGTGGTACTCGGATATTGGGACTAACAACTTATAATGATAATAAATTCCGGGTGACTTACTCCGTTCCTGTGGTAACAATTTAAGAGTTTTGGGGGGGGGGGGTCCGTACAAAGAATAAGTTTGGAACCCACCTAAACCTTTCGTTTTTTGGCAGGCTTTATTTCCTCAAACATAATAGGGAAGCTGTAATGAGTTTCAAAAACTATGTAATATTGCTGCTATACCTAAAAAGCAAAATTCAAGACATATTCATAATAATCATAATCAAAAAAAAAAAAAAAAGAGTGTTCTACGAAAGCTCCACCACAGAAAAATGTTTAAATAAACGCAATCGAGTTTTCTTACTTTCAAAGGCCTTTACGCCGCGAGTAATAAACAGTATGTAAGCCGTATCACAAAAGAAAAAAATCAGTGAATGTTTTACAATTTTAATCAAAGCATTACCTTATGAAAGCTTTTTAATTTGTTGGCGTAGATGTTTGAATACAACAACGTGTCGTGCGTAGGTGGGTAGGTGGCATGATTTTTATGGTGAATTGAAGGGCTGTGCAGATTTTATCAAATCAAACCATTAGTTCCTGTGATAAGAGCGTTCAAACAACACAAGCGTTCAAACTCTTCAGCTTTATAATATTAGTCTTTACTATTATTGAAAGGTAAAGAGTTATTTATTTTTTCTAGTTTTTCACATACCTAGCTGTATTCATGAAGAACTAGACAAAAAATAAATTTACGAAACAG